CCCCCGGGTCCCTCTAGGAGCATCTCCGGAGAGGGTGACGGCGGTGGGGGCTTTAACTTGGCTGACGTCCATAAAAGACATGACACAACACAAAAACGCTTGTCCACTCCCCGAGCGTTACGCAGAATGGCAGCGAGTGTGCTCCCTGACAGATGGATGGACCATCTGATCAGTAGGGGTTACACGCTGCAGTTTGCAGCTCAACCCCCACTGTTCAGAGGGATTATAGAGATGGTTCTGTCATCTCCAGAACAGAACTGGTCTCTCCACTCAGAATTTCTGGAACTACTGATAAAAAATGTAATTTCCAAGGTTCTCAGCGGAGAGGAAAACACAGGGTTTTACTCACGTTACTTCCTGGTCCCAAAAAACCCCGGAGGGAACAGACCCATCCTTGACTTGTCCATGTTCAACAAATCAATCATGGAGAGACAATTCCACATGCTGATAACCAAACAGCTGTTGGACAACATTGACCAGAACGATTGGTTTACCTCCATAGATTTAAAAGACGCTTATTTTCACATACCAATCATTCCAAAGCACAGGAAATTCCTGCACTTTTCCTTTCAAGGGATCCAGTACCAATACAACAGGCTTCCGTTCGGTTATTCCCTTGCCACACGCACATTTTCAAAATGCGTGCAGATGGCTCTGCAGCCATTACACATAGCAGGAATGAGAATTATTTTCTATCTGGACGATTTGCTGCTGTTAACTCGGTCCAGACAGGAAGTGGCTGCACAAACTAGAGCGCTGACTTCACACCTGCTGAACCTGGGGTTTTCTATAAACTGAGAAAAGAGTTCGGTTTTCCCGTCCCAGATGATCATTTATCTGGGAGTGGAGCTAAATTCAGTCACTATGACAGCCCGCTTATCACAGCCGAGAGCCGAAGCTCTGACAGCTCAGCTCCACCGCATCAAACCCCGCAGTGTAGGAAAAGCTGTCTCGGTCATGAAACTTTTGGGGACGATGTCTTCAGCTCACACTGTGGTTCCGCTGGGCTTACTTCACATGAGACGCCTTCAGAGATGGTTTGCCCACCTGCGCATAGATCCGGTGCATCAGAAGAGGCGAATGATCTCTGTGCCCCCCTCTGTGGGAACCAACCTGAATCACTGGGGAAACCCTCTCACTCTGTCAGAGGGATTTCTTATCAGCAGGCTTACGTCACATGTCTCAGTTTTCACAGACTCGTCCCTGTCAGGCTGGGGAGAAACGTGCCTGTCTCAAGCAGTGGGGGCGCAGAGGCCAGCTCACACATCAGCTTATATAAACGTCTTGGAATGTCTCACAGTTTGGAATGTCATTCAGCATTTTGCTCCCCTGTTGTGGAATCAACATGTTCTGATCCACACAGATTTACTGCAGCTTACATAAACCGGCAGGGAGGCGTGCGCTCAGCCCAACTGATACGCATTGCGAGGCATCTGCTGTGTTGGACACACAAAAACCTGCTCTCTATCAGAGCAGTGTACATCCCCGGCGTCCTGAACAGAGGAGTGGACATAATGTCGAGGGGCGGTCCTCGCCACGGAGACTGGAGCCTCCATCCCGAGCTGATTTCTCAGATTTGGAGCAGGTTTGGCCGAGCAGCAGTGGATCTGTTTGCCACACGGGAGAATGCCCAGTGTCGATTATGATTCTCACTGAGCCCACAGGATGACCCACCGTTAGGAGTGGACACTTTTGCCCACAGCCCGTGGCCAAAAATGCTCCTTTACACGTTTCCTCCAGTCCCTCTAATATCACAGTTTCTGAACCGAGTCCAGGAGGAAGAACTGTCAGTCATCCTTGTAGCCCCTGAGTGTGTGAGTGCCCCATGGTTCCCAAACCTGCAACATCTGTTATCGGGCTGGCCGTGGAAACTGCCATGGAGGGACGATGTTCTCCTCTAGGTGGGAGGAGCCATCAGGAGTCACCCAGAAATAGGCCAGCACCTTTGGGTCTGGCCGCTGAGCGGATCCGCTTAGAAAAAATGGGTCTCTCTCAAGAAGTGGTGCACACAATCCAAGACTCACGAGACACTTCCACTACAGCGCTGTACACATCAAAGTAGACAGCTTTTCAGCGCTGGTGCACAAAAAAAGGTGTAGAGGCCATCTTATGTCCACTAGGTGGCGTGCTGTCCTTTCTGCAGCAGCTGACGGACAGAAATATAGCGTTCAGCACAATTAAGACTTATGCTGCAGCTATTTCTTCTTGTCACGAGGGCTTTGGTGACAGAACAGTTTTTAATCACCCTCTGATGAAGTGTTTCTTAAAAGATGTACGGAGACACAGACCGGTGTCATGCCCACTAGCTCCACAGTGGGACCTAATGATGGTTCTGCGAGCTCTGATCAAAGTTCCTTTCGCGCCTTTAGATCAAGTTTCACTTAAATTCCTGTCACTCAAAACAGCCCTGCTGTTGGCTTTGACATCAAATGGTAAATGGTAAATGGACTGTACTTATATAGCACCTTTCTATCTTATTTCAAGATACTCAAAGCACTTTACACTACAATCTGTGTCCTCATTTACCCATTTACACAGCACTCTACTAGATCTCTACAAAGCTAACTGAACAAATCATTCTAATGAGACTAATCAGTGCTGTAGATCACATTCATACACTGATGGGACACACACCAGAGGCTATGAGGGGTTCAGTGTCTTGCCCAGGGACACTTCAGCATGTGACTGCTGGTGGATTCGAACCCCCAACTCTCGCACTGGAGGACAACTGCTCTAACCACTCAGCCACAGCCACCCCATGACATCAGCAAAGACAGTGAGCGATTTATTTGCGCTCTCTGCTGCCCCGTTATGCCTCAGGATTCAAGCTGATGGCAGCTTAGCTGCGCTGAGACCTAACCCAGCTTTCATACCAAAAAACATCACAAGCGCATTTAAATTGAGAATGATAACATTGGAGGGGTTTTATCCTCCTCCTCACAAATCAGAGGAGGAAGCAACATCTCATCATCTCGCCTTCTCCATGACCCATTCTGTTCTCAGCATTCTAACAGAAAGATTTTTACTTGTTTCGCGGAATTTCGTTTTAAACTCACATCTTATTGCATGCAATTACAGTGTGAGACATTTATTATCATTCACAAGTTCATGACTGCTGTTTTTATTGTTACTAATCAGTTCATGACTACTGTTACCAATCAGTTCATTTGTTATTAATCAGTTCATATTGAAGAGCTGTTGACCTGCTCTGCTCATTGTTACATGGTTACAATTTGTAACCTCTTTTCTTTTTCATTCTCGGCAGTAGGACTACATTTCAGCCTTCCCTTTTTCCCCGTCGGAGACCTTTTCTCTCCGGGGCGCTCCTGTGCATGGAACGCGTAATTATGCAGTGTGTAATTACGCACACAGAAGGTTGAGTTGATGAAATGTTTTTTGGTGCAAGCGGGCACTTCATATTGTGTCTGAATGGACCCAGTGAGGCATAGACTACATCCGGTTTCACCTTTAACCCACTAGCAATAGCCTTAAAAGGCGAAACCTATACAAAATAGAACGTTGGTTACGTACTGTAACCCCAGATTCTATGAGTATATGCACAGCCCTTTAAGCTCTGGGCCTCACTGGTTCCTAAATGGCTGAAGAAAAAAGCTATTTGGGAGCCGATTACCCAGTCTCACCGTAATTTATAACAACCGGGAGTGCGGCCCACACAGCAGGTGGGCGTGGACAAAAGTTTTCAGTGCTGCGCTGCGTGCGAAGGGATAAACCCACTAATGATAGCCTTAAAGGGCTGCACCTATACTCATAGAATCTGGGGTTACAGTACGTAAGCAACGTTCTAATATCGCTGTTTATAGAACGAGGCACACGCACACATCGCGCTGCACTATAACATACTACATGTGCTAAATAATAACAGTTTAATAATAATAAACAGTATTTATCTTAAGTTTGAGATATATAATGAAGCTCTCTGAGCTAAATGAAGCTATCTGGGCATTATGTAATTCAAATTATGTGATTAAAATGATGCTAAACATATTGCATGTTACTATAATTGAAAATGAAGACATCAGGTTTAATTTTTATTTTTTTTATTTATTCAACACCACAAACTGTATGTCACAGAAACACTGATAATTAAACTGAAAACACTATTAAAACAAGTTAACAGTAAACTACATTAATGAACTGGACTCTGCTCTGTTTTCATCCTGGAATCTGGTCCCACGTTGTCCATCTGGCTTGTTCAGGCTGTCACTCCTTTGATTAATGCAGCTTAAAACATTGAATGGATTGAATAAAAGAACTGAGAGGAATTTTAAATAAATAGTTCATCCAACATCTCTCTCTCTTTTTCCATGTCCTCCTGCATTGCACCTGGACCGAGCCTCGTTCAGAACCGGTCTGCCTGGTGGAAGGACAGCTTCTTTTTTCAGGAAAAATAAAAATAAAAACTCAGTTGGTTGTTGTGTGATCGAAGTAAACACAAGCAAACATTATTAAGAACGTTGATTTACCTGCTGTAAATCAGCTACTGATTATCACGGAGTAAATTCCGACATCATCGACTCGGATCTGGTCCACTCAGTGACCGGTGTAGAGTTGTTAGATGAAGCGGTCCTGTTTGGCGTCAAATCTGTCGACTCTTATCCAAAATCCAGTTTTAACTTTTTGTTAAGATGTTGTTAGCTGAGCTTTTAGCCCAGAGGAAAAGTGCGTGCCGAGGCAGCACGCATGCGCATTAGGTGAAGGTACAAAATTCACAGCGCCATCTAATGACCTGGCATGGTAACTACAGCAGATTCAGTGGGGCGGGGGGTGGGGGGGTGGATTCCTCTGGATGCATGTAAACACAAAATCCAATCGCGTCAACGCGGATCTTTTCTTCTAATTAACATACGAAAAAACCTACGTTTCCCCCATCGTGTCCGTGTAAATAGGGCCTTAGATTCAGATCAGGCGTGTTTGTTAAAGTCAGCGTGAGGGCCAGGATTAGGACCCAGAGATGAATGGAAGTGAGAAGAAGCCATTACCTGTTTGACCTTCTTGCTGCTCTGCTGCTGGAGTAGATGACTCTGTTGTTGCTGTTGCTTGGAAAACTCTTTAAGATTTTCCTTAATAAGGGGTGGGTGGGGGGGATTTACAATCAAACGTGTCATTAAATTTACAGTAACAAAAAATAACTTACAAATGCTACTAAAATGTCCTGCAAAAATGATTTTGGGTTCAGTATTTTGCATACAAAAACAACAACACAAAATGTTTATTTAAGATAAGCGAGCCTGTTTGACTATGGGGCGCCATTTGTAAAGTTACACAGTCAAGAATTAACAGCAATATTTTGGTTTATTTAATTAGCCTTTAATAAGAATTTTTTTTCAAAGTCATATTTTCATCATGTTATTCATACATTTATAAGTCATAGTTCCCAACTAAATATTTAATTGACAAGCTAAATATTAATTTACAAACTAAATACTTAAATATTTAGCTAGTAAACTATATATTTAGGTGTAAATTCAATATTTAATTTCCAAGCTTAACATTTATTTTAAAAACTAAACATTTAATTTTTAATCAAAACATTGAATTTCCAAAATGAGTACTTAATTTGCTAACTAAATATTTAACTCTGTTCTAAATATTTAACTTGCAATCTAAATATTTAGGTTTGAGCTCCTAAATATTTAGATTGCAAGTTAAATATTTAGATCAGAGTTAAATATTTAGTTAGCAAATTAAATATTCATTTTGGAAGTTAAATGTTTTGCTTAAAAATTAAATGTTTAATTTTGAAAATAAACACTTAGCTTGTAAATTAAGTATTTAGTTGGGAACTATGACATTTATAAATATATGAATAAAATGGTGAAAATATCACTTTTCTTATGAAAGGCTAAATAAACCAACATATTGCTATTAATTTTTGACTGTTTAACTTTACAAACGGCCCGCCCATAGTTTGACCTGTACAGTTAAACATTTTAAACTGTTTATTTAAAGAACGACAAAATGTGTATCTATAAACACACTGACCTAAACTTGACAAAATAAGTCACAGCATGCAACATAGTTGGTTTCTTTACTGTCTTGTAAAGCTTTTCTTTTACTTTTAAAATAAATATAAATGATGGAGGTCAAAAGATTTACTCGCATGGTTTTCCAAAATATATTGATGTCTGAAATGTCAGTCCATGAAAACAAAACACTCAGCTGAATCTGCCAAAACTTGCGTGGAATCTCAAGTCCCATGTCTGACCTACTTTAGGCTGACTGTGATCTGTGCAATTTAACAAATATGGTGGAATCAGACAAGCGTAGGATCTCAGAGAAGATGCTTAGGTAGACACTTTAGAGTGAATCTGCCACTAAAAAAGAGGAATTTTGAGAAGGACTTTATTTTATAAGTTTTAAATTTAAGGACATGTTATTTAACAGTAGGGGAGAAATGTTGTGGAGCTTTTATTAGTTGAGAATTTTCTTTTTGAATGCTTTTATGACTTTCCCTTTGGGGCAGCACGGTGGCGCAGTTGGTAGAGTTGCTGCCTTTCAACGAGCAGGTTGCCTTTGTTCAAATCCCGGTCAAGGATTTGAAAACTTCTAGGTGGACTTTACATGTTCTCTCCGTGCATGCTTGGGTTTTCTCCGGGTACTCCAGTTTCCTCCCACAGACCAAAAACATGCATGTTAGACTGATTGGTAACTTTAAATTGTCCATAGATGTGAGTGAGAGAGTGAATGGTTGTTTGTCTTGTTTGTCTCTATGTGTCCCTGTGATGGACTGGAGACCTGTCCAGGTGTCCTTGAGATGGACTGGAGACCTGTCCAGGTATCCCTGAGATGAACTGGGGACCTGTCCTGGTGTTCTTGTGATGGACTTGAGACCTGTCCAGGGTGTCCCCCGCCTCTCGCACAGTGATAGCTGGATAAGGGCACTAGTGACCCCCGTAATCCGAAAAGGAAGAAGCAGGTAAAGATAATAGATGGATGAATGAATGGATAGATGTATTTAAATAAAATGGCTGAACTACCTGCTGGAGCAGAAGAGCCTGTTGCTTCTGTTGAATCAGGACCTGCAGCTGGTTGGGTGTCAGAAGCCGCTGCATCTGCTGAGAACTCATCATCGCCAGAAAGACCTTAAAAGAATGGCACAGGTAGACCAGAATAGGACCCTAATGCAGAGTGAAGCCAAACGTGTCAGCTGATGAGCAGTAACAACCATGGGGAAGGGGAGACGTTTCAGTATCATTCCCCAATTTGTGAACACCATCGTGCTGGCTTGTGTGGTCGACCGTAAATGAGGGCTGGGGGGTTGGTTCAAACTAATTAGCTGAACAATTTTACGCTTGTTGTGGCTCATAATCGAAGTGTACGGGTGTTAATGAAGACAAACCCTCACAGAATGACAAAGCATTGGAGCAATAAACAACAAACAGTCTTTGGTAGGAACAGTGCAGCATGAAGTTTAAAGAGGCAACACGTGGCGTAAAATGAGGAGTAAGATTCAACATACATATTAGTATGTATAAAGATTAGTCTTTATAATGGAGCAAACCGGGGACCCAACCACCCTTTTCTTTCTGGTTCATCGAGAAAATTTAACCAGAAATGTTGGAGCAGTAGGAATCAGATTAAGTTTGGAATAGCAAATAAAATCCTTTGTATTTTATATGCAATCGATTCTTAAGTGATTGACTTAAATTCAAATGAGCTTTAATTGAAAAGGACTTTAACCCTGCTGCTTCCCTTGGGTCAAAATGACTCATTAAGCCTCAGTCTTTGCACTGAGGCCGCGTAGGTCATTTTCACCCAAAGATTCAACAGATTAATAGCAAATGTTGCATCCAGGGCAGCACGGTGGCACAACTGGTAGAGCTGCTGCCTCTCAACAAACAGGACCCGGGTTCAAATCCTGGTCTGGGGACCTTTGTGGGTGGAGTTTGTATATTCTCTCCGTGCATGCATGAGTTTTCTCTGGGTACTCCGGTTTCCTCCCATCGACCAAAAACATGCATGTTAGGCTGACTGATAACTCTAAATTGTCCCTAGGTGTGAGTGAGTAGGGCTGAGTACCGAACCGAGATTCTTTTATGGCACCGACCGAACTGCACCGGTCGGTGTATGCTAACTAAAGATTGACAGTAACAGATGAAGCTTAGCTTGTAAAACTGATCATCCATCCAGTCAGCTGCTTAAACAATTCACCTAATGTTTACTGTTTATGTTCATGTTCTCCTCACAGGAGCCTCTGACCCTGATGTGAGGACAAAAGATAAGTGAGGTGGGGGCCACAGGACTGTCACAAACTTTGTTGTTAAAAATTAGCTGCTTTTTCTACAGTGGAGCTGCACGGTGGAGGTAAGTAAACTTTAAAGGATTTTGTTGACCAGTTAAACCTTTATCTCTCAGCCTAGATAAAGTTTTTTGAGTAATAATAACACAACTATGTTATTGTTGATGTTTTGTTCTCATGTCAATTAGGGAGATGATCAGAGCCCTAAACCCCAGAGAACCACAGAGAAGATTCAGGCAGAGACACAGAGGTGCAGAAGTCTGCATCATCCCTACCTCAGTGAATCCAGTGACCTGCTGGTGGGATGTGAGGGACACTATGTCAAACTGACAACCAGGTATCTGTGTCTGCAACAATCATCATCTACAGCCTCAGAGTGAACATGTTCTACTGCTGGAGACACCATCAGCCAGGACTGGGCTTATTTGTGTCCACAGAAAACAGACATGTTGATGTTTCTGAAGAAAAACTGTTCAGTGAAAAGGTCCTCAGTGTGTAGCAGTGAACATTAGACACCGACGTGTCACTGGTTTGAAACTGGTCTTTTGACCTGGAAATTATTATTGTTTGTTTTTATGTAAGAAAACTGCTTGGAATAGGAAAATACCAAAGTTAAAAAATAAAACTCATAATTGGTACTGTAATGTGTAATATTATTCTTGTTAGAATTAATAGTAATTACAAAATTGTTACCGAAAAAAGAATCGTCCAGGAACCGACACCGAAGTGAAGGTACCGACACCGGTACCGATATCGATTTTTTTTAGAAAGGTACCCAGCCCTATGAGTGAAAGAGTGAATTGTTGTTTGTCTATTTTGTCTCTATGTGGCTCTGTGATGGACTTGCGACCTGTCCAGTGTGCACCCCGCCCCTCGCACAGTGATTGTCGGACATGGGCACAGGTGACCCCCATGACCCAAAATGGAAGAAGCAGGTAAAAGATCATCACCCCCACTCTGGCTTCACTCCACATGGTATGGTATGGTATATAGTTTATTCATTTTAAAAAAGTACAAAACAATTCCATAACAATATAAAAAGATACAAAAGATTTAAAATGAAAGGCAGCAGAAAGAAGAAAAAAATCTTATTTTATCTGCCCCTTTTTTCAAACAATTATTTCAGACATAATAATTTTCAAGTAACAGAACAAAATGAATAACTCGTTCTAATTTTTCTAATTCTAATACAAAACACACACTAAGCTACTTCATATATTTTTTTAACAATTCAGCTTTGATCTTTTTCTTAAATGTACACATTGACTTGGCATTTTTAACATCACTCTCTAGACCATTCCACAATCCAACTCCTTGGATTGAGGTAGACCTTCCCTTCAGACTAGTTCTGAATTTTGGTTTGACAAATATCTCTATCCCCTTAAGATTATAACAACTTTGTCTTTTAATAAAATTTCTTTGGATATTTAATGGTAATGTGTTATTTTGAGCCCTATACATAACTGATAAAATACTATAATCTACCAAATCATGGAACTTCAATAACTTTAGTTGATAAAATAATGTGCTTGATGGGTGACTGTAATGCTTTCTAGTGATGATTCTTACAGCTCTTTTCTGTAAAATAAAAATAGGTTTTGTAAATGTTTTACACGCTTTCCCCCAAACATCAATGCAATAGATTAAATGTGGAACAATGATTGTGTTATACAGCATGTACAGAGCTTTATCATTTAATAATTCCCTGACTTTGTACAGTACTGCAATAGATTTAGATATTTTTGTTCTTACAGAATTTATGTGATTTTTCCATGTTAGCTGTTCATCAATGATTACACCCAAAAATTTCATCTCATTAACTCTACAAATCTCAACACCCTCAATTTTAAATGTATCATCAACAGTTCTCTTTTTGTTACTAAATATCATGTATTTAGTTTTATCTAAATTTAATAATAATTTATTAAGTTTAAACCAAGTTTGTATTTTATCAAATTCTGTCTTCATCAGTTCCAACATCTGTTTTACATCTTTACCCAAACAAAAAAATGTGGTGTCATCTGCAAAAAGGACACATTTGAGGAGTCCTGATACATTCACTAAGTCATTCACATATAAAATACATAACTTTGGTCCAAGTACAGAGCCTTGAGGAACTCCACAAGTGATATTGCACAGGTCAGATCTTACACCATTTATTTGTACAAACTGCTTCCTATCTTTTAAATAGCTAGATACCCAGTGTAATGCTTGTCCTCTTATACCATATTTATTTAATTTTTCAAGGAGAATAGTGTGATCAATAGTATCGAATGCTTTTTTAAAATCAACAAAAATACTAACACAATACTGTTTTTGATCGACAGCAGTAGTTATTTGTTCCATTATTTCCATGAGAGCCATTGATGTAGAGTTTTTTGCTCTAAACCCATACTGACTGCTACTTAGAATGTTTTGTTTAGTAATAAATTAATCTAATCTGGTCACAAATAGTTTTTCTAGAATTTTTGAGAACTGTGGTAATAAGGATATTGGTCTATAATTATTGAACACACATTTATCACCATTCTTAAAGAGAGGAACTACCTTAGCTACTTTCATATTGTCTGGAAATATTCCTTTTGAAAATGATAAATTACAAATATATGTAAACGGCTCGATAACATAACTCATTATGTCCTTTACAAACATCATATCCATGTCCACCCAGTCTTTTGATCTCTTATCTGTAAGATTTTTTACTACATTCATTATTTCTTCTTTGTCAGTTCCATTAAGAAAAATACTGTTGTCACAACCTATAACTGAATGTTTCACATTATTGTCTACTTTTGGTATTTTAGCTGCAAGGCTTGATCCAACGTTCACAAAATGATGATTAAATCCATTTACAATTTCATTTTCATCATGGATTTCATCGTCATCTTTAAAAAAATATTGTGAAATACCTGTTTTTGCTTTATGACTTTTCAGAACACTATTTATTACTCGCCATGTAGCTTTCATATCACCATTACGTTTATTTAATAAATCACTATAATATTCCTTCTTGTGTTTCCTTATAATCGCTACCAATTTATTTTTATACTTCTTATATTTCTCTTCAGCCTCTTGTGTTCTCAATTTCAAGAAACATGTATACAAATAATTATTTTTTTTACAAGCATTTCTCAACCCTTTCGTCATCCATGGTTGGTCAACAACATTTCTCTTTGTATAATTATTTTGCACACAATTCTTTTCATACAGAACTCCTAAAATATTCATAAACTCATCATATGATCTGTTCACATCATCAACATACACGTCTTTCCAGCTTTGTTTATGTAAATCATCTTTTAATTTGTCCATTGCTTTTGTTGATGTGTTTATTGTTTTTTCCTTAATTGTGATTTATTTTGTAATGCTTTGATCATTTTTATAAATCATGAAAACTGGTAAATGATCACTCAAATCACTCGTTAAAATACCTCCCATCACATCCCCATTTGTTACATTTGTGAAAATATTATGGATTATTGTAGCACTATGAGTTGTAATTCTTGTTGGTTTTGATATTAACGGATAAAGATTTAAACTATACAATGAATTTGTAAATGTACTGATGTTATTTGAATCTGTTTTATTTCCCAGGTCAATATTAAAGTCTCCACAGAAAAAAATGCTTTTATTAAAACTCTTGTCCAATAGTTGTACGATTTTATCAGTGAATATTTCTATATTTGATCCTGGAGATCGATATACACAACTTATCAATATGTTTTTATCATTCTTGTTTATTATTTCTATTGTTATTATTTCCATGATATTATCAACAATGATTGACATTTAATTAATTAATTTACATTTTATTTCATTTTTAACAAATAGAGCCACTCCACCACCTCTTTTGTTGCTTCTGTTCACATGATATAATTC